GAGATGCAGTCATTCTACGGCAAGTCTGAGTCATTCTGGATTGCCCCTGGTGGGGAGGTGCTCTCCAGGGTGGCCACAGGGATGGCCTTGAGTCCTGGGAGTTCCCAGCAGCGCTTGACTTATCTTTGGCTGGGGGGCCAGGGGGCAGGGCGGGGGAGACAGTATTTACAATGGCCCATGTGAGGTTGGCACCGTGTGGACAGAGGAGGCCAGGACATACGATGCATATTCCCACCTTCTCCAACTTTCAATGCTCCCTAGTGACCCTTTTTTGGGAATGGGCCCTCCTGTTTGCTCTATGAGGAAACAATCAAATACTCTAACTGCCTTCCTACCATGCATTTCTGGCTCCCTCTATCTAGTTATTTTGATTGAAGGGTAAGCAAGGGCTCAGCTTGGGTGGACAGGAGAAAAACACTACCCGCGAGTGCACATTTTAAACATTAGGGCAAAACAGGGAGACAGTTTCTGAGATATTTCAAACTGCATAGACAGGTTTGAGAGAGTTAATTTGAAGACTCACTTGGATTTACTGCCAGACTCGTTCCCAATCCCCAAATCAGCTTACGGTTGTTGCCAATATTACATAGTCATAGGAAGCTTTGCAGAAACCGACCAGGCCAATGTGTATCAGGAAATCCCTTTCAATCCCCAAATCCAGCTAGCGTGTTCCTCCAGCTGGGACCCTGGCCAAAGAGGCAGTGGAGGAGACTGTTTATTATTGTGGTCAATTCATAGCATGGTTGGGGTGGAAAGGCTCTTCTCAGATGAAATAGTTCATCCCTCCACCTTCAGCCCGAGCTGCCCCCTGACCAGCAAGGAGTCGTGCAATCCTGGCAAAGCCACTGGAGAAGGATTCTCCCACTCCGGTGCTCACCCATCCCTGCATTCAATACAGTCAGAACTTTCTGACCCAATGGTTAAGACAGAAAGGCAAGGAATCTGCTATTCTCCAGCCCGTTTATTGCTGTGCCAGGCGACCACACACGTGCCCATGTTCACATGTGCGTACGGCATGTGTATACCCTGGATCATCATTAGGATTCAGACTCAGAATTAACATAAAAAATAAAATTGGGTGGAGAAAACAGCCCCCAAATGAAGCTCAGTGCTACAGCTTCCTTTAGAAATTAGAGCATTCATTACGGATTCAGCAGAGATACTCACGGGGTTTGACCATTAACCTTGTTCCCCCTCCAAATGTGAGCTTGTTGCCTGCATTATTATTCACACAGTGATCTTCAGCTCAGCAAAAACCTCCTAGAAACTGTACTAAGTTTTCCCTAAAGATCTTCTGGAAGGAGCGATACCATGAGCACAGAGAATATTAAGTAATTGTCACAGTAATAACCTGGCACAGACTCCTAGCATCAGCTTGCATTTCAGGACTGTTTCCACATTGGATAAATGAAGGGTATTCTTCCTAAATATTCTAAAGAGGGAGTTTTCCTGCCCAAGCCCAGAATGCTGGCTGCCAGAATCCTAGCAGATCCTCTGGTGTTTTAGATAATAATTCTCCAGGGATTCTGAAGATCGTATTCCTCATTTGGACAAAGTAGGAATGGTTCATGTCCATGGCGCCAAGACCAAGCAGTCAAAGACACTGTCATCACCGTGGGAGAGACAGGGCCGCTGCCAGAGCCCACCTGGCAGGAGGGGTCAGCATGTTGGTCCACCCCTCAGGGTGCTGGAGCCAGGCACCTCTGACTGAAGTCCAGCTTGTGGAACATCAAAGGAGATTCCCACCTCCATTCCAAAGAGCTAGAGACAGTCACAGGCACTGGCCAGCCCTGAATTCACCGACTCCAACTCCAGACCTTTTCACTCCCTGCTTAGATGGTCACTAGGAAAGGGACATTTTTCCTTTTGTCTTGGGGTAGACTTTTCCATTCTTTCTGTCCCTTTCCCCAGGTAACACATCTCCAGCACTAACCTGAAATCCTTCTCTTACGGGTAGCTTCTCATATTCTGTCTAGATCATCCTTTGGGGTCTCTCTTAATTTTGAGGGTAACTTGAAGGAGAATCTGAGAAGGGAGCTCCATGGGCACCACTGCTGAGGGTACAGCATGGTGTCCTCTCTTTCCTCCCCTTGGGCTGCCTGGAGGACCAGGGGCTTACCAAGCAACAATCAGGAATGGGCCATTCCTGAGGGAAAGCAAGAAATACAGAGGTAATATGGCAGTCCATAAATTTCCTACTTGGATTTAGTCAGTGTCGTTCCTCCTCCAGAGAATAGATTCCCGTGGACGGATCCCTCCCTCCCACATCCATTACAAAAGGATCTCCTTTCTTCCTACTTTGTTATTTGCTTGCTGGATCTCTTACCCAAGTCTGTTTAATTTTAAGAAAGGGATATAGTTTCTCAAACTGTCCCTATGAAATTAAGTCTGGTGTCACCTATCCTGGGTGTCCTGGCTAAGACATTGTGAAACTCAATTTGTTTCGTGTGTGCAAGTCTGTTTATCGTGGTGGGTCCATGATGACTGGTTTATGGACACGAAGCATATAGGTGTGGGCTCGTGTAAACATTCAGGGGAAGTAGGTGTCCCGTTTGTCTAGAGCAGAGCATTTATGGAAGGGAACAGCTGGGAATAAATTTAGAGAGTGGAAATGGCCCAGGTTTTAGAGAGTCTTAAGTGACAGGCTAAGAAGTGGACATAATGGCTTCTCACAATATGAATGCCCACATGAAATGTTAAGTTGGACAAGGGGAGGGGCCAAAAGAAGGGTAGGAAAAGCAAGTGAAAAGTGTGGAATGAGATTATACGCAAACAGTGAATCATGGAACAGTACATCAAAAACTAATGATGGGGCGCCTGGGTGGCTCAGTTGGTTAAGCGACTGCCTTCGGCTCAGGTCATGATCCTGGAGTCCCGGGATCGAGTCCCACATCGGGCTCCCTGCTCAGCAGGGGGTCTGCTTCTCCCTCTGCCCTCTTCCCTCTCGTGCTCTCTGTCTCTCATTCTCTCTCTCTCAAATAAATAAATAAAATCTTAAAAAAAAAAAAAAACTAATGATGTAATGTATGGTGATTAACATAACATAATAATAAAAAAAATTAAAAAAAGAGAAGAGAATGAGGAACAAAGAATTCCTACTGTGTTTAGAGGGGTCTCTCAGGCTCTTTACTTAACAAACATTTTCCTAATGATTAATACAATTCTAATGAAAATGGTGGTAAGTCCATCATAGTGAGCCTCGGAACTCTCCTTTACCCCTCCTGTCTGGGGTAGAGAGACCCAGAATTTCCACTTCGGGTAGCAGTAATGCTTGCTTCTATAGTTTATAATGACTATTTCCCTTATTTTACATTTTCTTGACCCTCCAATACCAACAACTTTAAAAATAAAGTCTTGTCTGTAATACTCACTTGGTAAAACCTTCAGCCTAGTGCCTTCTCCAAAGATGTATTTGTAGCCTCCTGAGGTAATCACAGTGTTATGTGCTTCTACATAAACCAACATAAGGTTACCATTTCTTGGAATAGCTTTGCTGTCAGTTAGTAGGACATCATATGCACGTCTCCATTGGAAGGTACTGTCCTCATTTTTTTCTAAAAGGAATTTACTTGGGATAATATCCCCGTTTATACACAAAGTCTTCACTGCTTTGATGAGGTCTGAGTTTGCAAAGCTTCCTCAATTTCATGTTATGTTTATCTTAAGTGTATTTATTAAGAGGCTGTTTTAACAAACATGTCAGGATTTAAACATCTAAATGATTGTTGACCCCTTTGAAGTAGTCCCTTTAAGACTCTTCAATGAGTATCAGTTTAAGAGCCACACATACCCACCAATGACATGATTTTATATTCATACCTCACTTTGGAACCAAAATAGTACCAGTAACGAGTGTGAGTCCCTCCTTTCTTTATAAATCATAGCTCTGAAAGGCTTTTGATTATTCACAGAAATGAAATCCACCTTCAAAAGATAAAGCCATCTGGATGCTACAAAAAGAATGTGCCTTAAAACAAAAACAAAAACAAAAACAAAAGGATGTGCCTTGACCTTTAAGGGCAGAATCAAAAGCGGAAGGGAGCCACTAACCTGCGTGCCACTTTCAGCTGAGTGGCTTGCGTGGGCCACTCATTGAAATGTATCAACTCCCTTTGTTAACAAATCAGCCCCCTCACCTAGGTGTCACACCTGGTTCAGGCACAGAGGGTTGTTGACGAGAAATATTACGAATGTAAAGTGGCAGGTGTTGCTGCAAATAATTCTAACAGGAAAGAGAAAAATAACAACAACAAAAAACAAAACCACACAACACTGAACTCTGCAAATGTGGGGACCGCCCATACCTCTTCGATACTGCTTTCTATAATCCATCTTTATTATTCCCTCCATGACGGCTTCACAACTTGCTTTATCACAGAGAATCCCGAGGAGATGGGGAGCTTTCTAAGGTCCTGGGATTCTCTGCTCCTCCCATGGGGTCAACTCAGCTAGCCTTTGTCCTCGGGGTGAACAGGGGCTGTCCTGTCTCCAGAGGTTTTCTTCTGCTATTCTCCCAGAAAAGGAAAGCCACGAGAAGCTTGTAATCCTGCTGCCCAGCCGTCACCCAGTCCACTTGCCAGATTTTTTAGTTCTACCCGGGGACATGGGCATAAACTCAACTGGGTCCCCAGCACTTATCTGTTAAGGACACGCTGCCTTGGCTCCACACTCCCGATTGGGTCACCTCCCTTTCCATTGGTTTGTTTCTGTCTCTATAACAAAGCTTTTCTTCCTCTTATCTCTGCCTCTTTCCCAAAGCCTCAACGTGCTATGTGGACCTTCGAGAAACACCGCTTGCGGTATTAACACAATTTATCAAACTGCCCATAGACCCGATAACCAAATCCAGCCTCTGGGGAAACGTGTCTTCATATCTGGCTCACACATCCGACACAGTTAACAACCACACGCTAAACGAAGCAATTAAATTCAGCTGTGTTTCAACAGGTCCCACTGGGTATCTTTCCAGAAGGGATAATTAGTTAACCACAAGAACTCACCGGGTGTGACCAGCAGTGAGGTGCCTTTGCCAAAGTAGAGGTTATACCCGCTGCTGAGATCCACAATGCGTTTTCCCTAGACAAAAAGCCCCTTGCAGTAACCACTCTGCTGTCCCCCTCACGTGGCTCTCCATTGACTCTCATGTCTGAAAACCAACCACACAGCAGTCACACAGACCGTGGCTCATCCACGAGACAGTTGCAGAGAAGGTCACCCCACTCACCACAGTGAGGAGGGCGATCACTCCCGAGAACTGCCCTCCCGGGGCCGAGAACCTTGTTTCATGTCATGAAGCCCAGAGTTTTCCAGCAGAGGGAAGTGCCCATCTGGACTGAGGACAGCAGGCGCTCGGACCAGGAGCTGCTCTGAGGGCTCATGGGGGAAGGGTGGAAAGACACCACAGGGAAAGGGGTTGGTGAATTTCGCCTCCTTCACTCTGGGTTGTACTGGAGTTGCACTCACTGATTTAGTTTCTGAGACACCCCCCACCCCCCGCAACGACACTTACTTGGTTTAACAGAGAGTTGAGTGCCTTTTCCAAAGATGAGCCTTCCTTGGCTGCCCCATAATTGACAGAGTCATATGGGGCCTTACAATAACCAGTGGGAGGGAAGGACTGAGGAGGACTCTGAGCAAGGGAGGCCACTTTCCCCTTTGGTGGGAGCAGCCTCACCACCCCACAGCCTCAGCTCCCAGCTCCTTGGCAGGGTTAGGACATTCCTCTAAAAGTAACAGCCAACTGTGCAGAGAGATCTGAGCTGGATCTTAAAGCACCCGTTTTGTTCCCAGAACACTGGGTTTTGGTATCCTGCTCATGCCTGAGGCACACAGAACAATCGCAAGGTCAGGCAGACACATGCCACCTACCATAGGTGGCCAACACTGGGGGCAGAGAGTGGTTATTTTAGGGACCAGGAGCACCATTCCACTCTCAGAGCCATAGTTCTTATAAAGAATATTAATGAAAACAACAACGGAACCAACAAAACCCAAAAGGTACATTAAGAGAGCTGTTTGCACTCCTTTTGGATTGGAGGGGTTCTTATTGAGGAAAACCCGATTTCTGAGTTGTTAGGTCTTTTTCTTTGTCTTATCACAGAATATGGGTGTTGCCTATTATCCTTAGCATTTCTATATATCGAGAGACAATGAACAAGCCCGTGAAAACTTCTATTTCTTCATGACCTGTCCTTAGGATTGCCTGAATTCACTAACTGTCAGACTTCCCATCAGCTCAGGCCCAAAGAAACGAGATGCCTCGATCCAGGTGGGCACTGTCAGTGTCTTAATCCCACTAAAACTGCACTGAAGAAGACCACCACTCACCCCAGCTTTTGAGATTGACCCGCTCCCCTCACTCACTTGGCTTTACTGTCAGTCTGGTCCCTGCTCCAAAGCGAAGGTCATTGTTATTGCCACAGCGATACACCCTTTAACAAAAACCTCCTGGGGCAGCCTGGCAGCCAGGCTCCCAGCGTCGTAGGCACAACGGGGAGAGGCACTGACCAATACCACACAACATGACAGTCCTATTCTCCTTTTCCGAGAGGAACCCGGCCACTTTGTCATGCTTCGAGGCTGTAAAAGTGGGCCCATCTCAGCTCACTGAGCACAGCTAATCTGGACCCTAAATTGGCACTCTGAGACATCTAATCAGCTTTCAAACAAGTTTCTGAGCTGTGTATAAACCCATGCCACAAACAGACCATGCCCAAACACACTGTTTGTCTTCAGGGACCGCTATGTATGAGGTACTGCCTGGTGGCACGCTCCAGAACTTCTATAATTTGCATCTTAATTATGGGTTCAAAATACTCAAACTACTCATCTATATAATTTCATGTTAATTATCATGTAGTCATCTCGTAATTGGCAAATAATGAAACACAGCAGAGCTTGGAGGGAGAGGGTTGGCATTTGACTACGTGTTCAGAGGGTCAAGGTTTTGCTTTTACTGCACCGAGGGTCCAACCAAATGACTCCTCTCAGAAGTGGAGTGTGTAGGACGTTCAGCAAGTTTCCTTAGAGTCTCTCCAAAACAGTCATTAGAAGGTCATCTAGCCCACTTCCTCTCATTTACAATGTATCACCCCTGAGGAGTTATCGGAACAAGCAGAACTCTCTATTCTCCATTTGAGAGCCCTTCTCATTCTGCTGCCCGGAGTGACAAAGTCCTGATGATGAATTAATTCCCAAACTCACTGTTCCAAAGGGAACACACAGAGTGTGAAGACCAAAGAAGCTTGGAGCAGGGAGAAGTCTGTTTTCACAGGTGGAAGGAAAGATTCAGTAATGGAAATAAAAAGAACACAAATTCTGATCGAATGCAGGTATCCCCAGCGAGATCAGCTCTACTGGAAGGGAGGAAGGACTACGTCCAGCCAGGACAGCCCCTCTGCAGCACCCCTTGTTTTAAAGCAACACACAGTTAGGTTACCTCATGGCTCCCATCACCTACCCGGGGTGACCTGAAGCCTCGTTCCAGTCCCAAAGATGAATTTCCTGGCACTGCCAGTGGTCACACTGCGAGATGCTCCATAACAAAAACCTGCTGCTAGAGTTTCCATCTGGTCTCCGCCCTCCACTGGCTTGCTCAGAGCTCTCTCCATGACCTCCTCCCAGATGCGCAGCCGGGTGGGCCCTCAGGGACCCGTTTCCATTTTCCAGACACTGCGGTTGTAGCCGTTATGAGGGCCGCAGAGCTCTGGTCAGACACCTGCTGGGCTAACCCTATCTGCCTGTGGCCCTCTTTGGCTTCAGCTGATCATGGGGTGCTGGCTAGTTGATTAAGGCCAAAGAGTTGTCAAGTTAAACTCTGCAGACTCTGGGAATTAAACTCTTTGTCCTTTTCCTCTCTGGGTTTTACATTAATGGATCCCTCTTGTCAGACTTGATGAGTGATTGGGCTCAGAAATCAAATGATGAATCACTGTTCTAATATAAGGTCGCGAAGTCAGGCAGAGAAGAGGGCATGAAGGCAGAGAAAGAGAAACAATCAAACCTCTACGTGCACAGACATTTCCACAATTCCTATGAAAGTCATTCTCATTGCAAAGGTGCTGCTAAGAAAGTGGCCCATAGATGTTCGGCGCGAGTCCTAAGTGGTACCCTTTGTCTGCCGGAGCCCAGAATTTCCAATGGCCTCTTAGTCAAATACAATCACAAAAGCACACAGGAGTCCCCCAGAGCACAGACTGTATCACCTCTCTCACTACACAGCTCAGACCCCCGTGTGTGTGTCGGATGGTGCCAATGATTGGTACCAGACACTCATCAGCAGGGTTTGGAAATGTCCCCGTGGGGATTCTATTTAGATCCCTACATCCTGGGCAGAAGCACTTACAGGGCTGGATGATGAGTTGGGTCCCTTTCCCAAAGGTAAGTCTGTTAGCACCTCCTCCTGTATTGGCACCCTGGGTCAACCCTTTACATAAATCTCTCTGCCAGAGACCCATGCCCCGAAGCTCTCAGAACCTCCACAGCAGCTCTGGAGCCCACGGACACCGAGGAGAGCTTGTAGTCCTGGCTGGTGCGGTTGGTCATTTCTTCCCCTCCCTCATTGCTGTCATAAAAGCTCAAAAGATACATGATCAAGGGAAGGGGCCCACGGATGAGGACTGGGAGTGCCATCCCCCAGCTACCAATTATATTATGTGAATGGTCGTGGCCACAAAACTCTCCTCTGTCACGTAGGAGAAGGTGTCCACGATGGAGACCCTTCCTCACAGATATTTAAAGGGGCATGAAAAGACGTCATGGTTTGTCTATCTGGACTCTAAACCAGGACAACTCAAAGGTCAGGCTAGAACACATAATAGGAAAAGACATAAATACTTCACATCCCCTCAGACTTACTGGGCCTGACTGTTAAATGAGTCCCGGTCCCAAAAGTCAGCTTGTCCCTGCTGCTAGTCTTCTCACTATGGTCAGCAGCTTTACAGAAACAGGGCAGACACCTGTCATGAGGGTCGCCTGCCTGCCCACCTGCCCGGCTTTCCCCCGACACGACCCAGAAATGCCCTCCGAGCTCTCACACCGCCCTCAGTCACAGGCTTGGGAGAAGTCACTAGGCTGGACACTACACACCAAGCTTTCCATTTTGGGGTCTAGACAACAAACAGCGGGCAGTGTGGTCCACAGAGACACTGACATTAAAAAAAAATTTTTTTTTTAAATTCTATTTTAAAGCTGTGGGTCACACCAGTTAATTGGTGTGATTGACTCTCTCAGAGGCGACGCTTGGCAATTCTTAAACAAATCACACTCGGGAGGTGCTTATGGTGCACCTGAAATCTCACTGTCTTTCTCTAGAATCGAGTATTTCTAAATAAGAAAGTTGACTCAGTTTGGCATGAAATGCTGGTTGGGAATAGGGGGGGCCAGAATGTGTTTTATACTCACAAGGCTTGACTCTCAAAATAGTTCCCGAGCCAAAGATGAGCCTGTTTTGCACAGCATGAGATGCCTCTACGAAAACCACGTGGGCATGGGTGCATGTGGGGTGGGGTGGGGGCCGGTGGCTTGGCCCTGGAAACAGAGGACTGTTCCACTTTGCTTTTAGGAACTGCTGGTATTTGGCCAAGAAACCAAGGACGTTGGAATAACGGCAGAAACTTTTAAATGTGGAAAGGTCGATTGTGTATGGAATTTGGCTTGTGGTTGCTCTCTGCTTCTTGGCCTAGATAAATGTTGCAACTCTTCGCTTGAAGGAACACTCTGAAGGGTTAGTGTATCTTTTCTTCCAGGGCCTTTCTAGCCCTCTAGCCAGAATTTTCTTTCATCTCATTAATCCTAATCATACTCCCCTGTTCCAAACCATTCTACTCTGCTGTGATGTCCTCTAATTTCAAAACCCATAGCAACTACCAACCAATAATTCCTGGAAGCATGGCTTGGAAACAAACTCGTTAGAGCTGGCTTCCACATCCAGTTTTCAACTAAATGGGGCTCTGAGTTGGTTTAGAGCCACTCTGACTGTCCCCTGCTGGGTAGAGCATTCTTACACTGAGTTGTTCTCCGTGGTGCAGGGGAGGGTGGTGTTTTCCCCCTGGT